TAAATATTTATGGAACCCATGAGTGAAAAGAAAAAGCATATAAGGAACCTTAAGTGAAACGAAAGGCAATTCTAGAATTCTTTCCTTGTGGGGAGGAGTAGTATTTCAGGAGAGAGGCTAGCCTTCAACAGTGTCATCTGTGGTATTTTTTTTTAAAGTTCATGATCCGAGAACGGCTGGCCATGTAGTTTATGTGAGGTTCAGAGTTCCATCCCCAGCACCACAAAACAAACAAACAAACAAATAGGTCAAGATTATCATTCTAATACATGTTTGAGGTTGCCCCTTGGTGAAAGTGGTATTTGTTTCTGCCTTGATGTTCTCTAGTCTTAAGGTGTTGTCCTTGAGATTTATGCTGCTCTACTGGCCAGCAGAAAGAGGAAATAGAGAAGTGAAGCTCAAACCTGTTTCCTTTAAGAGCATAACCCACAGTTGTACATGCTTCTTCTCAGACCTTATTAGCCAGAATTTTTCTGTGTAACCAAGAGAGACTGGTAAATCAGCTGACACCAGAGAAGCGGAAAACAAATATTGTGGACAGATAGCATTAGCTTACTGTCCACTGAGAAAAAGACGTTAAGCAATTATTATACAAATATATATTCAATTGTAGGTGTAGAAAACAAATCACTATAAACTAAAAATGTAAGTGTTAATATGGTCAATAGCAGAGCAGTCAAACCTAATCTCGTGATTTCCGTTTTTCCTTCTTTTCCTATCTTCTTGTGAACTGAGATTTTTTTTTTCATTATGGGTTTTACTTTTGTTTTGTTTTTAGTTTTCCACTTATTCTCTTCTGGCTTATTTGCTTTGTTTTGTTTTGATTTGTTATTTGCTTTATTTTTATAAAGTTTGTTCTGAGGCTTGCCATATGAACCTTCTGTAAGTAATATACTCCCTCCTGTGGTACGTGTAATGGCTTTGTAATGCATGGGCCTGAACTGTTTTCCAGAATTCCCTTCTCTGTTTCTGGCACCAGTTCTCTTTTGCTTCTGCATGCAGACAGCAGAGCAGGGACACTAGCATAGTTGCAGCTCCTGCATGCTGTCACTCACCTGCTGGTTCACTTTGTTGGTCTGGGGTGAGAGCCAGACTTGCAGCTGATCTACATCTTCTGTCCCCAGTCCCCTCTAGCTGCTCTCACTCTTGGTCAACTATGTGTTTAACTTTCTGATAAAAGTTCCTGCTTTCCCCTTTCATTCAATTTGGAGGTGCAGAGAAAATTGCAATGAAGTTTAGTTCATCCAGTTTATACTTGTGAGCTACTATTAGTTCTTACTCCCTCTCCCTATTTTTCCCCACTGCTTTCCAGAGGTTTCAAGTTCCATGCCAGACCCAAAGATAATATACCCTTATAGGAATTACTAGATGGCATTACTTTTAATTCTCTGCACTAAATTGTAGAGTCCAAAACTTGTATGTTACCTATTACTGTGTAACAAATTATGCCAAAATTTAGTAGCTTTAAACAAGAGACTTTAAAAATAATTTCAGTTTCTGTGGGTCGGAAAATTGCAAGTTGGATTAACGGAGGATTTCTCCATGGGGCTTATATTGAAGTTGCATATTATCTGAACTTATCGGGGCTGGAGGAAAGGTTTCTGAGGTACCTCGCTTACATGGCTAGGGAGACAGCACTTCCTGCTACGAAGCCTTAGGGAGAACTGAATGTCTTCAAGACAGAGGGAAGCCATCAAGTCATAACTATAATGCCTTCTGTTCCAAAAGTGACTCAGAATCATTTCTGCAGAATTCTTTTGGTCACGTGGTCACCCAGTTTACTACACAACTGCGTAAATATGAGAAGATGAAGATAATTGGGGGGCATCTTAGAAGCTGGCTATCGCATACCATATACTTCTGCTTCTCTCTTATCCTTCCTGCTACTGTTGTCATACATTTTACATACATTTTAAACACTAGACTGCATTGTCTTACTTTTCTTTTTTTTTAATTCATTAAGGTTTTTTTTTGTTTTGGTCTTGTTTTGTTCATTTTGCTGTACCAGGGATCTAACTCAACTCAGGACATTGTGCTTGCAAGGCAGGTGCAGAGTGAGCTAAATCCCCAGCCCCTTTTATTTGGTAAGTTTATTGGTACATTTTAGGTATACAATATGATGACTTCATCACTGGGAATTTGTACCTTTACATGATATATCTTGGTGCCTATTTTTTTCCCCATTCCCCCCTGTAACCCTATTTACAGAAGACTTTGTTTTCATTTTTTTTCTTTTCTCATATTTATTCCTTTGCCTTCTTTCATTTCCCCTGTGCCTCGCACTTCCCCTTCCCCTTTGGACCTTTTCTTCATTGTCATCTAAAGAAATAAAAACAAGAAGAAAATAAATTTTCATATATGTACCTTGATATTTGTCATTTCTACCACTCTTCATATTTTTCTGTCTGAAATAATTTTCTTTCCAGCAAAAGAACTTCTGTTGTTTTTTGTTTTGAGAGCAGGACTTGCTGTGTTCCCCAGGCTGGCCTCAGACTCTTGCTCCTCCCACCTTAGCCACCTTAGTGCTGGGAGACAGGCGTGTCTCACCATACTTGGCTTTCTGATTTTCTGTAGTGTAGGTCTATAGTTCTGCTGGTGGGAAATTATCTCTTCTATTTTTCTGAACAGGTCTTTACTTTGCCTTTATTATCTTCACTGGATATAAAATTCTAGATTGATGTTCTTTTTGTTTTCTTTCAAACAGTTTTAGAGAAGTTGCTCCATTGTCTTCTGGCTTCCAATATTTTGATGAAAAGTCACAGACAAAATTATACAGATAATGTGTCTTTATCTTTGCTCTTAGGAATTTATCTTTGGACAATGACCATTTGCTTATGATGTGCCTTGACTTTTCAAATTTGGTTCTCCACGCAGCATATTCTGAGAGAGTTTAGGGTTCTGGTGGCTTACTTGGCAGTGCACAGGCTCCCCCAGGTGCAAGGCTGGCAGGTTCAGTAGGAATTGGACAGGAGGAAACCTCAGGCCATGACCAAGGCCCAGCAGCCCCTGCTGGCCCCAGAAGATCTCTGAATAACTGGATCAATCGTCACACGTGGCCCTGCTGAAGGGCGTGAGCTTTGGTGATGAAGCTCTTCGCAGCTGAGGCCAGCTCTGAAGAGCTCACAGATAAAGGCTCTTCACTGACAGCGCACTCAGAGTTGGGATAGCAAGTCTTTCATTTAAGGGGGAATCTCAGCAATTGTTTCTTTTGCCTTCTCTTTCTCTTTTCATTTTTTTCCCTCGTTTTTTTCTCTTTCTCTCTCACAATACTGGGAATTGAATCCAAGGCCTTCACACTGAGCTACATTCCCAGCCTTTCAATTTTATTTATTTATTTATTTATTTAATTTTGAGACAAAGTCTCATGAAGTCACTAAGTTGCACAAGCTAGGCTTGAATTTGCTCTCCTCCTGCCTCAGCCTCCCAGAGTGCAAGGATTATAGTTGTACACCACCACACCCAACTTCATCAGTATGTTTCTATGTGTGAAACGATGGGTATGATTTTATAATTGTCATTCTGCTTGGTGCTTATGGAGCATTTTGCCTATGAGTGTTTATAGTTTTTCATCAAATTTGGAAGCATTTATGGTTAATATTTTAAAAAATTAATTTTGTAACAGTTCTCTTTGGAACAATATTAATGTTTAATAAAATGCACACATTTACTCTCTGAAATATTATATAGGGATCACTGTCTCAATTAAGATATTTAGTGTCCACCACTCATAAAACATTCCTTATGAGATTTCTTGCTTTCTTTTTCTTCCTTTCTATTTATTTATTTATTTTTGGTATCAGGGATCGAACTCAGGGCCTTGGGCTTGCCAGGCGGGTGGCAGAACCACTGAGCTAAATCCCCAGCCCTTCTCTTTTCTTTTTCTTTCTTCCTCCCTTCTTTCCTTCCCTCTCCTCCTTCCTTCCTCTCTCCCTTCCTCCCTCCGTTCCTTCATTCGTCCCTCCCTGCCTTTCTTTTTTCCTTCCTATACTGGGAATTAAACTCAGGGCCTCAGGTGCTAGGCAAACACTCTACCACTGAGGTATATCTCCAGTCCTTTTTATTTTAAACAGGGTCTGGCTAAGTTTCCCACGCTGTCTTTGGGCTTACAATGCTCTTACCTCAGCCTACTGAGTAGCTGGAATACAGACATGCCACACCATGGCAGCTCCCTGTGAGTTTTTAAAATCCTTTCCTCTTACTACTCCATCCACATGAACTGCCACACTGTTGTCTCTAACAAAAGAATAACTTAGATTTTATTCAGTTTTATAAATATAGAATTGCACAGAATTTACTTATCTGATCTAAATTTCTTTACTCAGAATAATTATTTTGAAATTTATCCATGCTTTTGCAGAAATCAAAAATTCATTATTTTTAGCCAAGTGTGGTGGTGCTCAACTGGAATCCCAGCACTCCAGAGGCTAAGGTCAGCCTAGGCTACATAGTGAGGCCAAGGCCAGCCCGAACTACATCGCAAGACCTTTTTTAAAAAAAAGGGGGGGTCATGGTTTTTGTCTTTGCGGTTCCGCCACCTGCCTTGCAACCACAAAGACCCAAGTTTGATCCCCAGTACCAAAAAAAAAAAAAAAAAAAGTTCATTACTTTTTCTTTTTGGCAAGTATGGAGCATTGTTTCCAAATTTGGTTATTACCAATAATAGAAGTAGTGCTGTCATGAAAATTTGTGTACAAGTCTTTTATACACATATGCTCTCATTTCTCATGAATAAGTACTTGAGGATCAGGTTAAAGTCTGGCTGAGACAGCAGTGCCGCACCCATCTCTCCTGAGAAAACTGCGAGACCTATTAGGGCTAGAATAATCCGCTCCCTTGGGTGTGTACAGATCTGACTTTAGACAGATAAACTGTTCCTCTCACCAAATATCCTGACTCCACCCTGGTTCCACCCCCGCCCTACCGTATCCAATAGGGATCCAGTAGCTCCACCCCGGCTCCACCCCCTCCTTTACCCTATATAAGCCTGGGCAGTTGCGGAATAAAGCAGGTGTTCCAGAAACTTCCCCGGAATTCTTGTGGTGATTCCATGTTTTGTCCTCCACGTTCAGCCACCCCCCCCCCGGAAACTGTTGCACGAGCGGGCTTGCAGACGGAAACAACATTTGGCGCCTGAACAGGGGACTGCTATACTGGGTAAAGATTGAAGTTTCGGGTAAGGATCCCTATTATGCATAACGTCATGAGTCTAGAACAGCCGGTACAGGCCTCCTTAGTAAAGGGTCCTCATGCCATAAAGCCATCTGAGGAGTTTCCAGTCCAAACTCAGGCAAGTGTAGGGCTCCCTGAACTCTGTAAAGATGGCGGACAGGGCCGGGGATTTAGCTCAGCGGTTCGGTGGCCTGCCTTGAAAGCGCAAGGAGCCCAGTTCAATCCCCGGTATCAAAAAAAAAACCAAAACAAAATAAAGATGGCGGACAAAAGCTTCTCAAAAAAGATGGCGTGGGCAGCCCGTCTCTTCTGCTTTCTTCTTCCCCAAAGGCGTCAGCCCCGCCCGCTGGTCTCTCACTTCCTGTCAACCCCCCCATCACTGGAATAATGGTCATCAGGAAGAGCCTACCTTTTCCGATCCAAGATGGCTGCCTCCACCATGTGCGCCGCCATCTTGCCGGATGAGGAGAAACAATCCTTTCGATCCTGCCTTAGCATGGCTTCGGGGTCCTGGGCCTCCACACTGCCCAGACTCCTCCTCCAAAGCCCGATCTGGCATAGCTGAGAGCTCCGGAAAAGTTTCAGAGCAAAAGACCTGCAGCTTCGGGTCCCTGGGGCCTGCTGCCCGGAGGTGGGAGGGGAGCCTGGTCTGCGGCCGAAGGTCCTTTTGTCTTCCCTGGCCTCCACTGTGCCTGCCTCCCACTGTGGATCCTGTCACCCCAGCTGCTTGCGGGGCCCCACTCCCCAGGACGCGTTAGGGCCCAGCGGGGAGAGGGTTGCGAGTACGGGGCAAGGCCGGCTAGACGGGGGCTGCGCTGTCCCCCGCATGTGGCCACAGGGGCTGGTTGTTCCCCGGCCTGTGGCTACTGGCGCTGTCCGCTCAGGAACAACCTTCTTGCCACAAAGCCTTCCATCTCTACTTCGTCCTGGGCAAATCAAGTACCTAACCCCCCCATCTCTTTTCTTGTTCTGCCTTCCCCTTTTGTGTTTGTTTTACCGCTTTTATCGATCCTTCTTTGTTTAATCGTACAGAAACTTGGGAGTTTATATTTTGCTAGAACACCCTGGGCCGTTTGGGTCCCCGTTGATCTCCCTTTGGAATGAAAAGTTCAGATCATCTCTTTAATCGTATGCTTCATCCCACAGTAAGAAAAATTTTGAAATTTCTGCCCTTATTGCTGTCATCATGTCTATGGTGGCAGCCATTTCTGCCACAACAATGGCAACAGTCACCTCACAAAATCAAGTGGTGACAGCAGCAATGGTCAAGCAGCTACCCTGCTATTTCAAGATTTCCGCGCACCCATACTCAATTTACAAATACAATTAAACTTGGCTTGGGAGGAATTAATACCCAGGCGTTAAATGTTGTAACTTTATTGTTTTTTTCTTTTATTGAGTTTATTGGTGCATTTTAGGTATACAGTGCAGTTACATTCATTTTTTGGATCTTGTACTTTTACATGACAGATGGTCTTGGTTCTCATTTTTTCCCCTTGTCCCTGTCTTCCCTTCACCACCTTAGATGTTGACACTCTAATGTGTGGTGTACCATTTGGTCAGAAATTCAGGCTGGATGGAATAATTTGAGTAGTTGGATGCGTGGATTGATATTGGGATCCCTATATATATTAACCTTGTTTGGCATATTGTTATTGCTCTTTATTTTAAAGATTAGACATGCCAGTAACAAAATCATAAAAATGTGATCCTTTTTTGGCTGAGGCTCTGGAGTCAAAGACAAAAGGGGGAACTGAGGATCATGTTAAAATCTGGCTGAGACAGGAGTGCCGCACGCATATCTCGTGAGAAAACTCCGAAACCTATTAGGGCTGGAATAATCCGCCCCCTCGGGTGTGTAGAGATCTGACCTTAGACAGATGAACTGTTCTCTCAAAAACCTCTAAGGTCCTGACTCCATTTGCCTCAGCACCTGAAGCATACAATCCTAAAACTGTCATGTGGCCATTAACGATATGCCAAATATCCCAACTCCATCCTGTTTCCACCCCTGCTTTACCCTATCCAATAGGGATTCAGTAGAGCCGCCCTGGCTCCACCCCCACCTTACCCTACATAAGCCTGTGCATTTGCTGAATAAAACGGGTGTTCCAGAAACCTCCCTGAGTCTGTGGTGATTCCGGCATTGCCCTCGCAGTCTGGGACCCCTGAATCCTGTTCTGTGAGCAGGCTCTTGGACAAAAACAACAAGTACTAATGAGTAGAATGGTTGGATCATGTGGTTCAACTTTTGACAAACTTTCAGACTATTCCAAAGTGATGGTATCACGTTACATTTCATCCTCAATGTCTGATTTCTTGTTTGTCCAAATCCTTACCAACACTATGGTTACTCCTGTTAATTTTAGCCACTTTACTAGGTTTGCATTGATACATTATTATAGTTTTAATCTGCATTTCCCTAATAATATTGAACTCCTTTTCATGTGCTGATTTTTCACCCATATATTTTTTTTAATTTATTTTTTCGCCCATATATTTTCTTTGATAGAGAATCTGTTCAAATCTTTTGCCCAATTTTTGGCTGGGATGTTTGTTTTCTTTACAGATATTAAAGTTCAAAGACGCTAGGATTCAAGACTTGTTTTCAGATACTGTCTTGCAATTATTTCCACCCTGCAGTTTATCTTTTCATTGATAGTCTGTTAAAGAACATAAGTGTTGAATCTGGGCATGGTGGTGTATACCTGCAATCCCAGCACTTGGGAGTTTGAGGTAGGATGATCACAAGTTTGAATTTTGTATATGGGGTGATAAAACTATATGATGAATGATTATATTTTAAAATTTGATTACCTTAAAAGACACACTGCCATTATCTCCCTCAAAATCCCCCCCTACACATCCACTTTAATACACTTACCCCACCATTCTTGGCACTTTTTGAAGCAGTTCTGGAAGTCCTCTTCTGTCAATGTCTTTATGAGGTATGATCAACATATGCTCAGTGCAGTTCCTGAGTGCCATCCCAAGGAAAGGCAGGCTCATGAAAATACTATGATGTGTTCTCGTTCACCGTATTTCCTACATCTGGCACTATCTGACTTCTGGCTCTTCCCCAAAGTCAAAATGTCTATGAAAAGTAAATGTTTTGAATGAGTTTGATTATAGAGGCAAACGTGACAACCCAACTAAAGACAATCACGAAAGAGACTTCCAGAACTATTTAAGAAAGTGACAAGAATGATGGGATCAGTGTGTTTGCAGTGAGGGGGAGTATTTTTAGGGGAATTAATGGCAATATGTCTTTCATTGTAATATTTTTAAAAATTTAAACAAACATCTTATTTTTTAGATACCTACTCGTTTTCACATAGTTTATTGGGCAGGTTATCCTTTCTACATTGAAGTGTCTTTTCACCCTTATAAAAAATAATTTGCCTGTTGATGTGTGGATTTCTGAACTATCTGTTCTGCCCCAGTGATCTATTTGTCTATCTTTATACTGTAAAAAAGTTTTATTAGTATAGTTTTTATAATCCTTGAAATCAGGTAACATTTGTTCTCTCCAAATTTCATTTTACTTTTAGATTTTTGTAATTCATCATAAATTTCACAATCAGTTTGTCAATTTCTAAGGGAAAAATAGCCCACTGGTATTATGATTGAAGTTGCACTGAATCAATAAATCCAGCTTGGAGAGAATTTACATCATAACAACATTTCGTTTTCTGACCCAAGAACATATTGTATCTCTTCATATATTTAGGTCTTTTTTTACTTTCTCTCAGGAGTGTATCGAAGTTGTGAGTAGGAAGTGGTTTTTGAAGTTTCTTACCTTTTAAGAATTTCTTCTGAAATTTTCACTTTAGATAATACACATTTTAGCTATAGAAGTTTATTTATATTCAATTTCTCTCTACATTCATATTTTCCTTTATGCACTTGAAATATTTGTAATACTTGTTTTTAATTATATGCCTAGCATCTTTGTGATTCTGGATTTCTTTCTGTAGACTTTTTTTCTCCAGTGCTGGAGATTGAACTCAGGGCCTTGCACATGCTAGCAAAGCACTCTACTACTCAAGCTACATCCTTAGCCTGCCACAGGCTATTTTATGGTTGAAATTTTCTTGCTTCTTTTCATAGTTTGAACACTTACATTTGATGTTGGACACTGTGATTATGCTTCCATACAAATTGAATTTTTTTGTCCTTTAATTCCATTGTTTCCTTTAAAGAACAGTGACACATTTTTCCCAATTTATTGTGCATTTACTTATATATCAGCGTGGTCTGTTTGAGGTTTGCTTTTATTATAGTCCATTTGTTCAGGTCTAAAGTAGCTCTACTGAGTCAGAGGTGGTGGTACACACCTATAGTCCCAGCACTCAAGAAGGAGAACAAAGCAGGTGAATTCTTGAGTCCAGGGGTTGGATACCAGTTTGGACAACAAGGCAAGACCCCCTCTCAAACAAACAAACAACTAAATAAATAATAAGTCCCCAGTTCAATCCCCAGCACAACATGCACAAATAAAGTAGACTTATTCTCTGGGAAGACAAAAATTATCTCCATCTTTCTTACCCGTACGTGCTCCTATATATAGTTGTTTATCTTACAAGTCCCTTCCTTCATAACTTCCATTTGCCCAATATGATGGGTTCCTTGCCCCATAGGGCTTTGTTTTAAGCTAATATTCCAAGGAGCCTGTATGCATACTTCTGGACTCTTTCTCTGTATCATCTCCTCCTGTCTGTGATTTTCAGTCACCTCAGTCTCCCTAGAGTTCAATCTCTGTCCTCTCAGCTGATCAACACCAGTTGCTCTGCTTAGGTTCCACCTTTCCAAAATGAGTTGGGAAATACTTCTAGGCAGAGGAGAATGCCAGGTGATTGTTGGGATCACCTCATTTGTTTCATTTTCCTTAGAGATTGTCATCCTCCACTGCATTTTCCCAATGTCTGGAAATAGTTATTTATATCAATATATATGTATCTTTCCTGCTATCTAGTTGTTCAGTATAGGAGGCTCCCCCCCCCC